GGCAAAAGGCGACGGAGAGGGGCCCCGCTCCCTCTCGTCCCCAGCGAGCCGAGGGAGGAAAGGCGAGGGGATTCGGGGACGCGCGGACCGAGACGCTCGTCTCGTTGAGGACCGATACACACCTAACTCCATATACAGCATGCAGTAATGGCAGCGGAAGGACCCTGCTGGGAACCGTGGCTAGAACGCTAACAAAAAAAAAAAAATTATATATATATATGTATATTTATATATACTGTATATATATATCCCATAAAAAGATTCAGCGTCTCCCTCCGCCTCGACACGCGGCGAGCATCGCCCATGCCCTCAGCGGGAACTGTTCAGACGACCGCTTTTTGGGCCGCTCTCGGGGGTGAGTGAGGGGGGTCGGCATGGGACTCCTCGTCCGCGCCGACTCGCCGGGCTCGCCAACCTCCTCAGCCGGTTGCCTCCTTGGCTGCGCGGCACCGACTTCTTCTCTCCGCTTGCTCCCCCTTCTCCTCTCTGAAATTTTTTTTTTCTCCTTTTTTCTTTTTTTTAAGTTTCTCCCCTCTTTTTTTTTTTTTCTTTTTTTTGCATTTCTGTTTCTTAGGAACTAAGAGTTCTAGGCTCGTATCAGAAAATATAATCAATAAAATTAACCATGACTCAGAATTCTTTATCATTCACGATGTCCGCGGGTGGTACGATGAACACGTGGCTCGACGCCGGTCTCCTTCCTCCCTTTCCGTTTGGGGTGGCGTGGTAACTGTTGAAGATCTATATATCTATACATATATATATATGTATACGTGAAGGTATATATATATATATGTTCTGCAACACAAATGGCGGCACGGTCCATGAGAAGATGGGGAAATCTCAGGCAAAGAAGAAAACCGGTGCGTCTGGACGGAGGGGTCCCCGGGGGAGGGAGCGGGCGGGAAGAGGGGACCCGGGGGTGAGTCCCTGCCCGTCCTCCGCGATGGCCCACGGCAGAGAACTGCAAAAACGGGGGGAAAAAAAGGGGTGGGAGACGGAAAAAAAAAAAAAAAAATTAGAGGGAAAAGAAAAAGACTCCGTCGCGTTGCATCTTCTGTGGGAAGCCTTGGATTTCTGAGAAGCTATTAAGTATTTTAATTTGGCAGGACCTTGATACAAGTATGGTAGTATCTGACTTGGAAAGCTCTGTACCAGTTGGTTGCATCACTTTGGAGGGAGGTGACAATAGCAAAGCATGAACAGGGCTGCCACTGTTTAGTTTCTTCCACGCAATGGGGGCCGGCTCTCGGGTCAAAACTGGCGGGCGAGCTGGGCGAGCGGGAGGACCAGCAGCCACACGCAGCTGCCTCGCCGCCACGCACCATTGTTCCCGTCGTGCACTGCTCCGGGGCCTGCGGGAAGGCAGAGAAACGCCCCACTGGGTTAACCAAAGAACCGACAAAAACCACACAACCACAACAAACACACCACAAACGCACCGTTTGGGCCATCGCACGTGGTGGCATCAGCCCATGCGAGATCTCCCTGGACACCCGCATCCACCCGCACCGGCCATCCCCATCCCCACCAACCCCGGTGTATGGGACACAACCCCCCGTGGTCCCGCTTCAGACCCAAATCCTCATCCCAAGCTCATTCCCTGCTCATCGCTGCCAACCCACCAACTCCAACACCCTTATTTCCATCCTCCAACATTTGTCTGAAGTTCCCAGCCACGCTTCGATGGGAGATGCCCAACACTGCCCACACTGTGCCAGCGTAGGCATGACCGCCCTGTGGTTCCCCACTTGTCTCCCTTGGGGGGGGCGCAAGAACCACTTGCCCACCCAGAAGAGACAACCCCAACAGCCCTGCGCTCAAGGCTCGGTGGGGGGCTCACCACTGCTAACGCGCTCTGCCCATGGACCCAGAACATCTCAAGAAGAATGAGACGGGACAAGAAGAGCCAAACCCGTCCACGCCTTTGGGGAGCGAGCTCATAGCTCTCTCCATAGGAAAGGACGTGGAGAGTGCCTGACCCAGTGGCTTTCACCAAAACACCCCTAACAGTTGGCCCTGGGGAACACTAGGCTGGGAAAAGCCCTCGGGCAGGCTTCCAGGCTGGTACCCTGCCGTGGCAGGGCTGCCCGCAAGGTCTGATACTCCCCAGGACACGTCCCCCTCGCTTCAAAGCCCGACTAAGGGATGCTCAGAACCGTTAACCGTTTGGTGTCCCGTCAGCAGCACCCTTTCAGTGCACTCACAGACACCTCACAGCACTTCCCCACTTAGCCCCAAATCCTGGCTCAGCCAGGAAACCGTGCCGATGTGGAGACGCGACCGTCTCCGCGCTACACAAGTAGTCATTCTGAGGGCTGACCACTCCATACATCAAACACGAAGCTATGGAGTCCCAAAATCAATGTGACACCAACCGCTGGCCGCCCTGGCCACGAATAATACGGGGAAGAGGACCAGCCGCCTCTCCATCCCTATCGCGTCCACGAAAAAAGACACTGGGAGCATCCCAGAGGAGGAGGGACCCACAAGGCCACTTACACAACACCACGGGGAAAGCAGACCACAGAGACATCCCTGCTTGTGCCCCGGCGACAGGGAGGAGAGCGCGGCGGCGATGGGGAGGGAGCGTGGGGGGGACGGGGCATGCAGAGGGCACAGACCCCCACCAGAAGGGGACAGTAGGCTGGCGGGGAGGAGGCAGGACGGGAGTGCAGCTAGACAACAGCAAAAAAGCCCTAAATCATCACTAGAGCAGCGGGTTGTGGGGCGGGAGGTCGAGGCGGCTATTGCCACAGCTCCCGACCGGCCAACGTGGGGCAAGAGCCGGAGGGGTCCGTGGGGACAAGGAGCCAGGGGAGCGCTGCCGGTGCGGGGGTCCCCGAATTACTGACCTTTCCAGGGTGTCAGAGCAGTAGTTGTCTCTTCTAAAAAATTAAAGAACAAGGGAAAGTTAAGGCACAGGGGCAATTGAAAGCGGCAGGCTTGAGACGCCGCGCTCAGCCTGCCCTCCACCCGGGGCCGGGGACAACGAGTGGATGGGGGTAGCAAACGCGATGCTGCTGCCCAAATTGCACCCCACTTCTCTGGGGACACGCTTCCCCCGTCCAGGAAGAGCGCTGCGTGAGCTGAGCCGCCTGTGGGACCCCAGACCCGGGGGGAGCTCTGCAAAGTCCACGATAGCACCCCGAGAAAAAAAAAAGCACAGCGCAGGGGCTGCGAGTTGGGGGATTTTGGGGGTTCGGCTCTTCCCTGTGCTCCTCCTGTTCCCCTCTGGTGTGGGTTCGGTGCCCATCGCTCTCGCAACATCCCAAACGGGTTTATTCCCTGCAACATCCCTTATGGGTTCATTCCCTGTAATTTGCCAAACGGGTTTATCCCCTGCAGCATCCCAAACGGGTTTATCCCCTGTAATATCCCAGATGGGTTTATCCCCTGTAATATCCCAAAAGGGTTTATCCCCTGCAGCATCCCACAAGGGTTCGCTGCCCGACACCAGCCTCTGGGAAGCAACACGGACCACGCGACGGGGGAGAAGGGGAGGGCATTTCTTCTCCCCAATTCCACTAAATGATGTTGTGCCACCCAGCGCTTCATCACGTTACCGACAGCACCAAAAGAGCCGCTGAACGAGGCGGCAGGCCTGTAACAACCAGCACTACACGTTAAATAAAGCACCAGTTGACCTCTCTGAAAAATTAGATTAAAAAAAAGATTAAAAGATGTACGCTACATTAGCCTCTGTGGCACGGCCCCGGAAAGGCTCACGTCACAGTACCCGCAGGGATTAAACCTCCATTTGGGAGGGTGGAGAAACTCCTAAACTCAGTTTCAGGGAAAAGGGGATAGTCACAAAATTGTCATCCAAGGACACGTGAGACCTCTCTCATGCCACAGGTAGTGCAGCCGTCGCACGCCAACTTCCCTCTTATCTTGCATTACCATAAATAAAGACACATTAATCGCCAGACCGACGGCGCTGGTTGCTTAGGGACCGGCGCGCTTGGCTCGATGATGCTCCATAGCAGCCTTACTACTAATTACAAGGATGGGATTGTTCCCAGTGGTGCTGGGGAGCCCTGTGCCTGGAGGTGGGGACCCCCTGCACGTCACGGTCCCCTCAGGTCCACGGCGGGTTAGGGTGGCCTGGGGAACCTTCACCCCCTCCATGGGACTCACTTAATAAAGACTTAAAATATCATTAAATCAATGTGGCTTTATGGAAATTATGGGCGGCCAATGCACTCCGATTTCATTCCCTCATGGGATTCACAGTCACACTGACAAAGCTCAGGAGGATCATAACATCATAGAGTGGTTTGGGTTGGAAGGGACCTTAAAGACCATCTCGTTCCACCCCCCTGCCCTGGGCAGGGCCACCTCCCACCAGCCCAGGTTGCTCCAAGCCCCGTCCAACCTGGCCTTGAACACCTCCAGGGATGGGGCAGCCACAGCTTCTCGGGGCAACCTGCCCCAGGGGCTCACCGCCCTCACAGGAAAGAATTTCTTCCTCAGATCTCATCTCAATGTCCCCTCTTCCAGTTTGAAGCCATTCCCCCTTGCCCTATGCCTTTGTAAAAAGTCCCTCTCCAGCTTTTAAAGCCTTAAACTTTCACAGGAGGCTTCACTGTGTCCCCCCTGACGCTGCCATCACGCAACGAACCACAAAAAACATCACTCATGGGTGAGCAACCAAATACCTGACAGCTCTCACAAAGCCAACAGCAGACAGAAGTCATCGTTAGTTTGGGGGGCTGTTCATCCAGCCAGACCAAGGTCCCACACTACTTAAGATTTTAAGCCCACAAACCCCTAGAGAGCCTACAACACTGAGGCTACGGTCCTACCCATAGCCTGGTGCTTGGAACAGCCACCCCCTAAGGAGGGACCCGGGCCAGAGGTGTCTGTCTCCCTGAAAAATGGGGTTACTGGGGACACCGATGACCAGGAACAGATAGTTTCTAAGGCAACGCTAATGATGGCTTAACGGACAGGTAAAGACGCTAATGTTCATCACTTACAGCACGGACATTTTTTGGGGGAACAAATGGTTGTTAGGCTCCAAGGTTAGCTCTGCACTGAGGCTGCGGGCACGGAGCTCAGCATCCCAGACGGGACCAACTCCTCTGCCGCGGCTCAGGGGAACCCGACCCAACTGCTCATACCGACGGCGGGTGAGGATGAGCCCCTCCTGTGATGCCGCCCGGCATCCTCCACTCTCCCCAGAGAAACTGCTTCCCTGAGCCGCATCCAGCCCCTTCCCGAGGATGGGGAGGAGGGAGCTTGGCTTCCCAGGGTCTCAATGCACCTACCTCACCCTGCAGGACTGCCCGCTAGCTCGGTGGGCTTTGCACCGCTAAGCACCCGGTCCGCTAGCCCTGAGCCACCCCACCGAGGGGTCTGGGGGCAAGCAAGGCTCGTCTCCCCCTCTCCCCCGCCTCTCCAGCCACGCGCTAACAAGATGTGGCAAAAACACGAGGCAGAACAGCTTTGTTTCAAAATGCAACGCTTTGCAGCGCAGAGGCTTGCCAGTCGCCCGGCTCGCGCCGCTTGAGCTGGTCCTCTCCGGGAGAAAACAACGGAAGAGAAAAATTACACGACAACGGATTATTTACAACTTTGCACAGACAGCCGCACTGGAGATGCCCGGGAGGACAGAGATGCCCGGGAGGATGGAGGCTGGTTGCCAATACATCATGCTCCTGCAAGGGAGAACGAAACTATCCGGGAGGAAAAAAGGGTGGGCTGCTCTGGGGGTGGGGAGCGACACAACGCGCCGCACGGCCATCGCAAAAGGGGGATGAACCCCACAGAAGGGCCTCATCGAGCCCCTGCCAAGCCGGGCAGCGCGCCTGCTCACGCTGAACCAGGAAAGCTTCCCGCGCCGAAGGGAGGGAGACGCGAGATAGGCACTGCCGTCGGCAAAGACACGCAGGAGGACAGCGGCAAAGGGAGACTGCATTTTCAGACGTACCCTTCCTCCTACCCCGTGATGCTTCCTTCTTTTCACCAGGTTCTTCCTCCACTCCTTGTCACCACCGCACGCCTACAAGCCACACGGGTCCCCACGTTTGGACCCACCAGGGCTCTGCTGCGCTCCAGCCCCGTCTCTCCTAGGGAAGAGGGGTTCTCCTGCCCGGGCTTTGGCGCTTTACTTAAATACCAATATTGCAATACCACATGGGCTGAAGGCTGTAGGAAACTGGAGCTTTCCATCAAGCGCTCTTGGTGGTGATTAATGCCAACCTCTGCGCTGCTCCACGGTTTGCTTAGCGCAGTGAGCACCCATGTCACCCAGGGGCACTGCTCACCACCGGGTGGGACAGCCACGGGAAGGATGGGTCGCAAGGAGGAGGACAGTATTGGGATGACACTGGGAGAGGACAGAGGTCCCCCACTTCTTCCATACAATTCAGCAATGAGGACCGCCCGCCCCATATCCCAGGCAGGGAAATATCCCCACGGCCGTGGCCAAGGATGAAGTCTGACAAATATGTCGAGTGATTACAGCCCTTTCCAGCCACAAGAGGTGTCAGGTGGATGCATTGCTCTCCTCCCAGCTATGGCAGACAGAGAAGAGAGCCCCCGGGTGAGGGTATGAAGCTGCTTCCCCTTCTCCTCCCTCTGACCTCCCCATCTCCCTCTGGCACCATCAGTAAGGATATATCTGCTTGGTAGGAGCCAAAAACGCCACCTGGAAGGTGGCAGAGCCACGTGGGCCGTGGGCATGAGGCACATAGGTTTGCTGTGACCACCCTGAGCACCGATCAACACAGGAGGACACCTTCAAACAAAGCCTCTCCTAGGAACTCGTCGGAGCGAGAAGATGGAAACCCACAGCCAATTCCTAACATTGCATCGGCGCAGTGCCAAACACCTCTGAGCGGTGGCAGACGCGGGGCCTGAGCCCAGAGGAAGGTTTGGAGGCTTTCACGATTTCCCTGGGCTTGTTACGACCTCCGATCCATGTGCCGGGGCAGAAAGGATCACTACCAAATGCACCTCTCCCCCATCCCGTGTCTCGCACGTCGGTGGTCTCACCATTAAGCTGTGTCCCCAGCCCGGCCGGCTCCCTCGGCCCTACTCACCGTAGAGGATCATGCTGGCGTTGGTGTTTCCTAGCTGGTTGGAGGCTACACAGGTGTAGTTGCCGTAGTCCTGCTCGGAGACATTGAAGAAAGTCAGTCTGGAGAAGAAGGCTTTGTTCTCCACTTTGAGTCCTTTCTGTCCTTCAGCCAGCCTGGGAGGAAAGCAGAAGGGGAGATGCTCATGGGGATGGTGTCGGGAGAAGTTCCCCCTATTTCCTGTTCCTGCACAAGAGCGGGAACATCGAGCTTGGGGAAAAGAGGGAGAGGAAGGTATTGGGGGACGTAGGGGAGATGGACGCCGCTCTGCTGGGTCTCGTCCCTTAGCTGCCAGCCCACCGTCCCCGGGATGTCCACAGGCATCCACAGGGATGCAGTCACTGCTGAAGGGGATGGCTTTGGGGCTTGCCGAACACTGTGCAGAGGGAGGGATGCTCTGACCCCCACATACCCTTGGACATCCCAGGGAGAGAAGGAGACGGGGCCGACAGCATCCACAGGCAGCAGATGCTGCAGAGAATCCCTTTGGTGGACCCTAATACCACCACCGTGGCACTTCTCAGCCGGCGCAAAGGCTGAAGCGTTAACTGAGTGCATTGAACTCCCCGAACTGGTGTCCTCCTGCCATGGTGTCTCCCACCTGCGTGGCTCCTCCCGTGTTTGGATGCACCGCGGCCCCTCTGGGCTTCCCAGGGAGAAGCAGTGCAAAAAATGGGTTAAAAAAAAAACCCTTGCCTGGGGTCAGAGAGAGATTAGCAGAGGGGTGGGAGCGCTGCTCCCCTCCTCAGCCCCCAGCCGCTGCTTTGGTGGGACACGGGAGATGCCGGTTGACCTAAAAGGGCGACTTTCACCCCAAAGCTGGGCAGGCCGTCTCTGCGGACCAGCACACCCTGTCCCTCGACCCACACCGCATCTCTTCTGCCTTTCCAAGGGCAAGGGCCTGACACTGCCTTCTGGCCACAGCCTTTAAAGAGCTGACAGGGGTTTCATCCGCTCCTAAGCGCTCGGATTTGCACTGCTGATATCGCCCTTGGCTGTTACGCCTCACCCGAGCAGGGATTTATCACGAGAGCATAAAACAGAGGCACATGCTGCAGCGATCCTGCCCACACTGTTCACCCAAAACCCGTCTGACTGAGGCTCCTGCCAAAATCCCCCCACCCCATCAAATGCCCTTCATCTATTTTCCACCGCGCAGACAGCACCGAGTTGGAATATAAAGCCCTGACCTGTTTTTAATAGATACCGAGCGGCTGCTGCTCCTGATGAGATGTCCCCATTAGCCCCCAACAAGCACAGCCTGCTGCTGTCAGAGGGGACAACCCCTCCACATCCCAACCCAGGTGGAGCCATGAGGTTATCAGGGATTACTGGGCCACCGCAGCCCCATAACTGGTTAGTAAAGGCCGAAGCTGCTGACGCTGGGCACGGTTCACACGGGGTCGGTGCGTGCCCTCCTGTTTGACTCCCCTTTCCCCCCCCCGCCTCCCCGGGGGCTCTTACCGCTTGTCATCTTTGTACCACTGGAAGTCGGCGGAGGGGACGGCGGAGGCTTCGCACAGCAGGATGCCCTTCTGCCCCACCGGCACCCCGGTGCTCTTTGCGTCCGAGATGTACGGCGGGTCTGCGGGGGAAAATGGGATATCTGGGTTCAACGCTCAGCAGCTTTGGGGGCATCCCACCCCCCCCCACCCTTTGCTCCTAAAATCCCCCTTCTTTCCCTGCACCCAAATCATGTCTGAGCCCATGCCTAGCACCTGCCACTCCAGCACTGCTGTCGGGGGGGTTTGGGGCAGATGGGGGACCACACACCGCAGCCTCGTGGGTCCTCCTCTCAGGATCAGAGCCCCACAACTCTCGGGAACCACGTGTGACCCTGCGCCAACCCCAAGCAGCCAAAGCAGTGGCCAGAGAGGACTTTTCAGGCATCTTCAGCTCTGCCTCTCTGCACAAATGCTGCTACTTTCTTCCTCACTCTCTCTCACATTTTTTCTAATGGAAAAAAAAAAAAAAAAATACCCTATTTACTGCTCACTTCTTTCCTCTCCCCGGAGGTTATCTGCACAGCATCTCACCATGGGCGGAAAACCCAGGTTGATGGAGACAGCTGAAGAGGAGGTGGTGGGAAAAAAAAAAATGGAGCTCGACTCGAAAAGAAGGGGAAAAAAAGGGCAAACCACCACCTGCTCGGAAAACTGCCGCCGCATGTTGCAGCTCTGGGGGCGAGGGCTGGGTTCGTCCCGCTTCCCACCGCCCAAAGTCCCATCCCCTCGCGGGGTGGCACGGTGAGCCGCTCCCTCCCCGGTCCCCCACCGCCCCCAGGCTACTCACAGTTGACGGTGACTTTGACCCGCTGGACGACGGGCGCTGCCACGTCGTTGGAGGCGCTGCACTCGTACTCGCCCGACTGCTCCCGCGTGATGCCCGTGATCTCCAGGTACTCGTCCTCGCTGATGAAGCCCACGGCTGCAAGGGAAGAAAGAGAGGGCGGTGAGTGATGGGGGAGGCACAACGAACCCGTGCCCACTGCCTGGTCATCTTCTGGGACACCCACCCTGTCCCAGCACCGGCACCCTGCCTGAAAGGTGCCTGCTAGCCACGGCCCCGCCAAGAGCATCCCTTGCTGGAGATGCGCGGGATGGGCAAAGTGGTCCTCGCCAAACCTGCACCCTGCTATAGAATAACCTGAAATCATCTCTCCTTGGGACCTCCGCATCCCAGCCTCCTGCTGGGATCCCAACCTCCTGCTGGAGGCACCGCCGGGCTGGCCCAGCTCTGCGTAGACGCCCTTCTCTTATTTTTTAGCTTTGATTCACTCACAGCCACTTTATCCCCATCAGTTGTGGTGCCAACACCTCCCCCTCCAGCTGAATCGCTTGCTCCCTATGCTGCTCAAGGCTCAATTTCTGCCGTCCCCATGGAGGGGATGCACTTGCCTCCCTCTCCCTGCCCGGGCTGCACCCCAGCTCCTGCTTTGGCTCAAAGCCGGGCAGATGCGATCGGCGGCTGTGATAGTCACCGGGTTGACTGAGACCGTGGCGTTACAACAAATGCAGAGTTTAATAAAGAAACTTGGCAATTAGGACACGTCTACCAAACATCCCCCAGAAACGCCGCTCGCCCCCAAACGAACGGCACCAGTGGGTCTTCGACAGCCCCCGAACGGGAACAATTTCTCCCTTTCCTTTCGTTTACATCTCCCCACCGGATCTCCCGCAGCCAGGATGCTGTAATTACTGTGCGAAGCATCTCCGAGACCAGTGTCACACTTAATATTCCTATAAATTTTAAACGGTAGTCCTTGGTACATATGTGTGGCAATTGGTGTCATATTTTAATTAGGCTTGCCCTACACCATCTGAAATTAATAATAGCTCGAATTACCACTGTAATTTATAAATTAACATTGCTGGAGCATTAGGAAATAAATTAGCTCTGGACAGCTGTTTCTGGGAGTGAGTGCCAATGGCGGAGAGGCCAAGCGCAGGTCCCCGGTCCCTGAGGGACACGGCGAGCTCGGTGGTGGAGCCGGGTGATCCGGCGCTCGCCCTCGCTTCCCGCCCGGCTCCCACGGCCTCGGTGCTACCGTGACCCGGCGGGCTGTGCCTCGCCGCGCTTGGCCGGTCGACCGTATACACCTCGCTCCGAACAAACGCGGGCAAAATATACACGTGGGAGGCTCCATCGGGGCACGCGCCAGCTGCATCCCACCGGCAGAGACTTTTATAGCATCTCTTCCCGTGGTATGTAAATAGTGAGCGCAGTCACACACCGCTGCCCGCCTGGAACGCACCTGTACATGGGGGGTTTGCCCCAAGCCAGCACCGATGTCGACTATGTGTCACCCCTGCACGGCTCAATATGGTGAGCACCCACTGGGATCCCGCTCCTGCAATCCCTGCTGCAGCTACTGTCAGCTCCAACCGCTGCAAATATGCTCAGATGTCATGAAATTCCACTCTCGGCTCTCCCCAGCGCCGGACCTCGCGGTGGCCGCGGGACTGTGCAGGTCCGCTGCTCCCTCACACTCCCGCATGGCCGAACCGAGGACCCCGTGCATCCCGCTCCCACAGGCTGCCCCAACTGGGAAAGCTGCCCCACACCACCCCATAAGCTTTGGAAAGGGGTGAGGCAAGTTTTCCCGTACAACCCGCCGTGATGAATTGCCGACGTCCTCCCGCACCTTCAGCCTCGCGCCGAAATTCCCACCCTCACGGTCAAACCCGCTGAGCTCATCAGCCCTCAGCGCAAGGGAAAAGGCAAGATGTGAAGGCGTTACCCCAAAATCAATATCATTTTGGGGAGACACAAATCGCAGCCTTACATCCACCGGGTCCGCAGCGCTGTGCGCCACAAAAAAAAAAAAAAAAAAAAGGCGAGAAGGGGGGAAAAGAAATAAAAATCCCTTTTGTGGCTGACCTAGAATCGGCTTCTCTGTAGCACAGCGCTGCCTGCTGATAAAATAATGACACAGCCGGTGGCCTTCGGATGCTCTGCGCGCAAATCCGACTCCGGTTTGTGCAAAGGCTCAGATAACACTCCTCTTCCTAACTAACCAAAGGCCCTTCCCTGAGCGCGCCGGAGCCGGCACGCACGCGGCGAGAATTAGCTCTCACCGTAGCCGAGGCGTAGCGCGTGTCCCCGGTTTGATCCGGGAGCAAAGCAGCTCGAGAGTGCATTTCATTACCCGGCAAAAGACTTCATTACGGGAACTGCGAGGGTCAGCTTTCCACCTGCGAAAGCTCGGGAAATTGAGACATGAAGGCTTCCTCTGTGCCCGCGTAGCGCTGGAGTCGGAGATACGGACACGGTAATCGGCCGGCGGAGAGGCAGAGCGCAACGAGTCGAGGCTTTCTGTGTCTGGTGTCCTTTGTATCAGCACCTACGGGGATTTTGGCTACAGCCCGTCGATGCTGAGGCACACAGCCCACCCTGGACCCAAACGGGATGCTTTGCAGAGCTGATGCCTGCTTTTGCCCTGACCACAATTTGGTATTACTCATCTTTAGGCAACGATGACGACAGCGTTAGGAAGAAAAAAAAATGCTGGGGTCCCTGGCCAATTCCTGCCTCGTTAGTGCCAGCTACCGACACCTCAAGGAATAAAGTGACAGGAGGGATCCCCACCCCGAGGGCACCGCTCCACGCTGGCCAAGCGGGTGACACCAAGTGTCCAGGATGCCCATCGTGTCCCCCGTCCCCTCCTGCACAAGGGGCTTTGCATGAAAACTGGGTCTGTAAAGTTGCTCCTCCGGCGCCCGCATCGGCCGAGGAGGGGGGACATTCATCCCCTCGCTGGGTTGCACGGGGACACGGATGCTGGTGTGCTGACCACCCGTCCCCACAAAACCCCTCAGCGTCACTCTGAGAACCACCAAATCTGACTTTTACATTGGATCGCAGAATTTAGGTTCGT